GTTTATAAATACAAAAACGATAAAAAAAAAGCTTAAAACCTTGATCACATAAGACTTTATACGTATTTACAGTCTGATTCAAAAAAACTTGCACAAAATTTAGTTTTTTATATAACCATTTGCTTACCGTTAGAAAGTAACTAGAAATTTAACTTTTTCAGGGATATATGTTCGTTAGATATATTACACGTTGGCTATATAAAAGTGTGATTTCTCTTCTCGTTCATATATTAACATTTACTCATGACATAGTCTACTGATTTAAAAAAACTATCATATATTGACACTACGTTATTGTAACAGAGACATGGATTGCGCTCGTGCTATTTATCATGAAATAAAGATATTATCAAGGACTATCTATTACAATATAAATAAATTGAAAAAAACAAATTCACCTAAACAGTGAAGAGGAAATGGTCGACTATGTGCCACAGGGAAATAGAAAAAAATTATATTGCTCAATATATTCGATTTAACAAATAAATAGTCCTCAATGAAATTAAAGAAAATTATCGACAACTAATGATTCATATTAAGCTCATATACTAAAAAATTGTCATCTTTCTGCTGCTAGACAAGAATTTCGTCAAAAGTAGTGTTTACAACAAGAAAATGATCGTAATCATACTCACAATATTTTCAAACAATCGATCAACAATAAAATATTAGAATTATTCGAGTGCTCATCTGATACTCGAAACACTAATCCTATCGAGAACTTGTGGTCGATCGTAAAACGCAAAGTTAAAAAAAGAAAACCGAAAAATATTCATGAAGTAGAGCTTTTTTATGTGATGAATTTAAAAATGTTGATGTTAATATTGTAGTGAAAATTGTGATGTCGATGAAAAAACGATGTTTGTCTCTTATTGAATCTAAAGGCGAACGAATAAAATATTGAAGTATAGTGTTTAATAGCACTCACCATAGGCTATCAATTAGTAATGGAAACTACTTGAGAAGAACTTATATATGGGGATATATTTACAAAACAAGACGTGTAATTTTTTTTGAACTGAACTGTATATTGTAATAGATAGTCCTTGATAATATCGTTATTTCATGATAAATAGCACGAGCGCAATCCCATGTCTCTGTTACAATAGCGTAGTGTCAATATATGATAGTTTTGTTAAATCAGTAGACTATGTCATGAGTAAATGTTAATATATCAAAAAGAAGAGAAATCACACTTTTATATAGCCAACGTGTAATATATCTAACGAATATATATCCCTGAAAAAGTCAAATTTCTAGTTACTTTCTAACGGTAACAAAATCGTTATATAAAAAACTGTATATGATAAAATTTTCTTTTATTTTAATTGCATTTTTTTTCTTTATATTTTATCTTCTGTATCAGTCATATTAAAAACTTAATCATTCTTCAGCATCATTTCACTTTACCATTTTCTTTCACATTATAAATATCGTTGCCGAGAAACAGAATATAAAATACCGATAACAATTGAACACAAACGAAAAGAAAAAAAAGAAAAATGTAAATTTATTCTTTTATTCTGGTTGATTCTACCATTGATTATTCTGCACATTCGGAGAGCAAAACTCAAATACGAAAGAAAAAAAATCATGTTTATGATTGTATGTTGTTGTTAAGAGTGCTTAGTGATGCAAACGTATCAACAACATTTCTGAAAATGCAAAAGACAACAGTACATGAAGTGGACGAAAGACGTGCGTAATGCGACGTGCAGTTCGATTGCCACCGTTGGTGCAGGAATGTGGTGAGTACAAAATTGGGTTTCATCGCATATGTAAAAAATTTCTTAGATTTATATTCCATTGAATAAGAAATATTTGTTCACAAAACAGCAGAAACAGTTTTTTAAATCATTTTTTTTTATAGAAATCTCACATAATGATTTTTCGAATTTTAATGAAGATTCTGGCTCCATAAACAACAATGACCGACGACAGTCTACTTCGGATACATCCAGTCCACAATCAGATTCGTTACCATCTAATGCTGATTTCATTCTAGTATATAGTCGTGATGATGAATCTAAGAATGATGAACACAATCATAATCGTTGTAAACTTTCCATGAGTCCTTCCGAAAGAAGAGAAAGATTTCAAGATTATCTTAGTAGCAAACAAGGTCTTAGTCTTAAAACTGTCGTATGTATAATTAATACAACGAAAAATAAGTGAATTTTTGATCATTTACGAATAGGAATCATCATCAACAAAAAAGATGTATGTTAAAGTTCAGACACCATTCAAGATCCTTTTAGAGACTGCTGAAAAAATGCGAATGAGATTGCCTATTGAAGTGAGAAGCACTAGCAACATATACTTTTATTTATTTTTATTATATATATATATTTAAAGAAAATTGAAGAAACTGAAGATAACCCGTCAGAAACTGAAGATAATTCATCAGATACTGAAGATAAACCATCAGATACTGAAGATAATCCATCAGAAACTGAAGATAATTCATCAGAAACTAAAGATAATCCATCAGAAATTACTAAATCATGTCGGAATCGTTTTACAACTTCATTGAAAAGACCATTTCGTCTTGATCTATCATTATCAAAACATGATCCTGATTATTATACAGCTATATATTCATCTAAAATTCCTAAATTTAAAAATTTATTTGCAACATTACGTGGTTCACAAGATTTATATTTTACACCAAGTGAACGAAGTTTATTAACATATGAATTATT